CATCATCATCATCCTCATCATTATTGATCACTACCACAACACATCATCTTAATCAATACTATTGACATTAACATCAACATCGACATTTTCATTATCATCAGCATCATCATCATCATTATCATCAGCATCATCATTATCATCATCATCACCACCACCACCATCACCACCTTCACCTTCATCATCATAACGAAAATATTCCTTTTCAAAAGAGTATTTTTTTCAAGTATCATGCAAGGTCGTTCAAAAACCATCATGCTGCTACAACATACTGACAACAAACAACAGTTTTACTTGTTGGAACTCGAAGTATCTTGAGTTCCCACTGGGATCCTGCTTCTAGAACTTCCGAGACTTGCGTTAAGAGTCGTTACTCAGTTGGGTCACTTGGCTGTGCATAGCAAGAATGCATTAGTGTAGTTGAATTCTCGCAAGAAGCAACTGTGAATCTCACAGTACTTAAAAAAAAGCGAGGATGGCAATAAGCTTTCATTTTTCAATTCAGTCCCGGAACCGAAAGCGTCACATACGGCTGTGCGCGCAGGAGGCCAACCATCAGTGCAAGGTTTTTGCTTTGTAATACATTTTGACCAACCAACTACTGCTTTTTTCATAAACGTGTGAACTTGGTAGCTGCGAGATGTTCGTTAAGATTTGGTTTTTCGGTGCTGTCAATAAAAATTAATCAGTCGGTACTTTTCATATTTTGTTGATTGACTTCAACAGAAACTCAAATACCAGCATACATCGCGTGTTTATAAAATAGTAATGAATGAGACTTCAAWTTTTTCTGTTTTCATCGTCAGATACAGGGATAAGAAGACGAGAGCGCAGGTCTGAGTGTGGGTTCAGTCAGTATGAACAGTATTACATGCTTTGTTGTGAAGGAAATGTGTATCCAAGATCGGAAACTAATATAGCATGCTGTGGACGAAGGTGAGGCATTTCAATATGAGCTGAGACATGACGTTATACTGACTAAGTGGCTAGTAAAATACATACGCAGAATGGATGGAAGGAAGGAAGGAAGGAAAAGAGGGAAGGAGGGAGGAAGAAAGGAAGAATGGATTTACGTATGAATGGATAGAATGAAGGATGATGATAGGAAAGACGGAAGGAAGAATTGAAGAAAGGGAAGGGAAAAGCAAAAGGAAATAAGGTAAAATTTCTCATGTTTTCTAACCGCCCTTCTTCCGATGCACAGCCCGTACAATCCAGCGATGTCCCTGTGCTGTGATAACCAAATAGTATGGAGAACAAGAACACAAACAAGATGTTGTGGCAATCAAGCTTACAACCCAAGGGAAAATGACTGTTGTGGCGGGAACGTAATCCCAAGACGAAGAGGCAATTTTAATGGTTGTTGTCAGGGGACAGCGTACGACCCAAGGTAAGGCGTCGATCAGTCATAAGGAGGGTGCTGGTGCAGATAGGAGGGATCAGTCACATCAGTATAGGTGGGTGTACTGTTTAGATTTCCAAAAATCAACTTTTGAGCCATAAACGATTGGACTTAAGAAATATAAAGAAGTCATAACTGTTGATAATATTTATCAATTTGAGAGCAGTTGCTTCATTAGTTCAGGAGATATAATAAATTAAAGTTGCTAAATTTTGCAGTAAATGTTTGTTGGTTGGCAACATCTTTCACAATGTTAACTTGAAAACCATCAAGAGATTTGTCCTCAAATTCTCAGATATCTTCCAAAGCGATAAGATCTTGCCACTTTTGACATTTGTTTGTTTATTGCTTGAATTTCCAAGAATTTCATGTTCTTGATCAAAGCAAATTACGTCATCGTACGCCCACCTATTCTCATGCAAGCACGATAAAACGATCTGTAATTTAGGTTCCTGTCGTTATGTAACAACGTTACTGAATAGCAGTTAGAATCTAATATAGAAATCCAAAGATGGATATGAAAATTAAAAGGGGATTTTTTTCGGCCGAAAGAGGAAGTAAAAGTGTAGAAAAACACTCGAAGCGCAGCAGAACCAACAAGGGACGCTACTCACATGAATGGGGATCCTTGATCAAAACTGATCCGTTACCATAGTGGCGAGAGACGGCGCATTATCTGTGCTTACAAATAAACAATGGAAAGCTGCAAATTACTATACCCGTCAGGGATCTTTGCTGGTATCGACCTATTCTTACACTTTTTTCTTATTTAGGTATTTCACTTGCTGCCAAGGAAAGCTATCGTGGAGAAGTGGTTCTGGGTGGTGCTGCGGAGACAGAGAATTTGATAATAGGGTATGGAACTGATATCTTTGATTTTGAACATGAGAGGAAAAAAGAAAGAAAGAAAG